TTTTTAAAACATCTATACTGGCGAATATATGCAAGGCAAATATTTCCCTTTGGTGAAAGAGCGACGCCATTTTAAACTGTTATTGAGTAAAAAGTGNAAATTGGCAAGATGTGAAAATCTACTTCAGGTGAAAGTCACTTCCGGTCCAACAGTCCACATTGGAGGATTTCGTTAAAAGGGGTATTTTTATATTCACAATGAAATCTCAAAAAGCTGTTTATGTATCTTTATGCCTATATGTTGTTCAATTTTTCATAGTCTATTGAGGAAAACAACAATTTTTTTTTGTAGCGGCAGCAATTAAAACTCGATCGCATGTTGACTCCCAGTTTGTTGACAAAATATATTATGAGGATGTTTTTTAAAACATCTATACTGGCGAATATATGCAAGGCAAATATTTCCCTTTGGTGAAAGAGCGACGCCATTTTAAACTGTTATTGAGTAAAAAGTGTTTCTAGTAAAAAGAAAGAAACATAAAACCCATAATTAAGCATGGGCCTTTACATTCATTTCATGTTAACTCTCTCCCCAACCACTTCACTACCACATCGATCCGCGCGACACATAAACTGTCCTTGCCCCTAGCTATGACTTACTTTTGCATTTCATAGAGTTTGACATTTGTTTTTGTTTCCAGTGAGCCAATATTACCCATGACTCACACCTGCTAACATGACTTGTTGCTCATCTCACCCGCTTTGGGCACAGGCAGCCCAAGGTCATGATCTGAGAGCGATAGCATTTTTTTTGGTTTGTTTGTCTGTTTGTTTGTTTGTTTGTTTTTTTGATCTTATATTTCCATCTAGGTTCCGCGAAAGCTAGAAAATGTCCACAAATTAAATAGTTTCACTTGCCTTCAGCTCTAGGTGTCTATTTTTATCTTCGAGAATAAGTAGGCACAAACAGAGGATGGGCGCTGGTGGTAGGGGGTGGCGGAGGGTGAGCTTTACACAGCTGCTAGTGAGTTTTGGTTTTGTTGTTGCTGCAGTCTTGTTTGTGAGAAGAAAAAGTCACTGCGCGATACACCCAAATTTCCTTAGAACAATGATCTGAAGAGATACAGCGTACTTTACGCTGCAGTTTTTCACTTCAACCCCCTTTACAAGAAGTGGCAAGTTATGAAAATTAAATTCGGGGAAACTGCACGTGAACTTGTTGCTCATAATTAAATTTAAAGTCTTATTTAATTGCGTTAATGATGAATTCTCATGATCAGTATCTCTTGCCAGTCCTTGGAAAAGTATAAAATTGTACTACTGAGGTAGTAAAAACAATGTCATCGATTCGATATTCTTTCTGGAGAAATGATGACCTTTGTGGTGCTCGCGATAATTCAAAGTTGTGTGAGCCAGCCGTCAGTCTGCCTTTAGCATCTCTAGACCGCGATGTAACTCACCTTTTGGTTAACGTTGGTGCTGGAGGCACCAAAACTTCAGCCTTGCACAGACTTCAACATTTTCCTGAGTACAAACTAATACTGAATCAAGCTGGAAGGTGTGGTGTCGTGAATGCGGAAATCACGAAGATGACGATTTGTCCGCGTCACCGCCGTAATTCACACGTTTACGAGGACTAACTGGACAATATCAACACCCTCTTCATAAAGGTGAAATTTCCAAATTGAAAAAAACCAAGAAGGTGACTGCAGACATTTCAAAGAGAGTATACCAACAAACGAGGATCGTGATACCAATCGCTGCCCGGCCGTAAGTAATGCTTGTCGTGAGTTATTTTGGGATAGCCTTGTAATGAACAAAGTCAAATTCTATATTCAAGAATTCAAGTACCATGGACCATGGAATAAACTTAAAATATAACGATAAGCTATCTGATATAGTGTTCGTTTTTCTTGTCTTTCCAAAGCCATTTGCAAGACCTGCTTTGACGAAAAGATTACAGAACTTCATTTAACTCCCGAAAGTGTAACTTCCAACCATCTAGAGGTAATGTAAATATTGTAATCGCATGTGTTCAATCTCAAATACTACTGCAGTTGTCTCTCAGGGTGAAATTATCCTCAGCGTTGTTGTCCTTAACCTCAAGTACGAATGAGTCAAATTAACCGAGACTTTTCTTTACTTAAAATAAAATATTCCAGCGATGAAAGGGATGTGAAGGGCGATACAACTCACACCGAATGTCAACAATTGCTATTGCGTGACTATTTGCTGACATTAGTAGTCTTTACAGTAGAGCCGAAGTAAGCTAAGAAATATTTTTCGAGACAAGTGAATTTTAAATACTTCAAGTAAAATAAAGCTTGACACACTACCGTTTCTTTTTTACTTCAGGTTAACTGAAGGCTATTTTCTCACGCAACGTAATTAAGATTGATTGACACGCTTCGCCTTTCTCAAAGCTCTCAAGTCCCTTGAGCCTTTTATTGAATCGTTTCAACTTTCCGTCCTTAATGAGCTGAATGAGATGCAAAGCAAAATTACTTGAGATTTTACTTAGGCCTTCACACACGCATTTTGGGTTAAGTGAAACTTAGCAGCTCTTATAGCCTACGTAGCAGGCGCCGGTGATTTTAGAGCGAGGGAAAAAAATCTAGTTGGCGCTTGTGTTCCCACGGCCTGTCCAAGAAAAAACAGAAAAGAAAAGCCGGCTCTTGCTATGCAGGCTACATCTCTGAAGTCTTACTTGACAACCTCCTGTAAAGACAACCACTGACAGAAAACCAGGTGCTTTTGTTTTTGGGCCTTGAATCAAATTCCAAATGGAACATTGTGACATTATCACCCTCTCTCATCAGCTCCCACCTTTACAATCAATGTTTTATTGTCAGGGCAGACACGTTTTGTGTAGTGGAGGAGAGGATCAGGGGGTGGACGTAGTACTGAAATACGTTGATCAAGACAAATCACTTATGTCAGGTACCCACTGTTCGTCACTGTTAGATTTTTCTCTGGATTCAACTTTGGAAACAAGCTTTGAGTGGAGCCTATACATTGACGAAGCAGAAGAGTTGAAAAGAAAACGATGCTTGCTAAGTGATGCAATTGTCCAAATTTCTGAAGGTAGGGTAAGTCCAATTCAAAGTACATCGAGGTTACCATGGTCTGAAATTGGTGAGCGGCAACAGGGTTATTACGTGCGTAAGGCTAGAGAGGTTTTTGAAACAGCTTTCAACTGTCTCGCTCCTGGAAGTGAAGCCGATTTGTGGTTTGCTACAATCAAGTCCATGCCGTTTTCTCAATCAAAGCCTGACGACATCACAGAAAGGCTAGTGGAGGCTTACAAGTTAGCTGATAACAGACACACCCGAATGCAAATACTATCATTGTTTGTAAATGCATTTAGCAAAAGCCAACTAATGGAGATTATCCCAGGTATTTCTAAACGACAAATCGATGATGCCCGCAGACACGCCGACTTGAGAGGACCAGGAAAACCAAGCAATGCTCCAGAAATTATTAGAGTGCGCCTTGATGCAACGAAAACTGATCACTTTCTAGATTTTATTTCTTCATCTTCCCTTTTGCAAGATGTATCATATGGTACAAAGTCGTTGAAGTTGGATAGCGGAGAGAAGCTTCTTATACCAGCGGCAATACGAACTTTGATTCCATCCCGAATCATCAAGCAATACCAAAGCTACTGCGAGAGCGTAGCTTTTGAGCCATACAGTGAACGTACACTCTTCCGGATATTGGAGGCATGCTCTGCTTCAAAGCAGGTCTCGTTACAAGGACTTGATTACATCGCCACAGAAGGTGCGGAGGCTTTCGATCAGTTGAAATCCATTGTAAACGTGCTGCAAGATAACGGGGTCGATGTCACCTGGGCAAATTCTATCAAACAGGATCTAAAGGCTGGTAAGAGATACCTCAAGACGGATTACAAAACTCACACGGGCAGCAAAGAGAGATGTAAAGATCACTGTACCACGTTTTCGCTCAGTGATCCGAATAATAGTGACTACTCTAGTTCATGCAACCATGAGCATGAACTATCCTGTCATGAATGTGCACGGCTTACTTGTTTAGTTGAAAAAATCGATGAGAAGTTAAATGACAAGAACGTTTCCTTGACAGGAGAACAAAGGGCTAGATCTCAGTATGACCATAAACAGGCCACAAATTCCATCCTCTTATGGAAGGCGCATTTGCTTCGCACAGTAGTCCAGGAAAAGGCTAAGCAAGACGTCCTAACTAATCTTAATAAAGAAAGCACCCTTTTGATCATGGACTGGGCAATGAAATTTCTGCCAATGAAGTTCCGCGAAAGGATGGACGACTTCTATGGTAAGCGTGGGAGAAGCTGGCATGTGACCTGTTCGATTAAGAGAGCTAGCGAAGATGAGGACAGAGTTGAGGTGGACACATTAGTTCACATCTTTGACTCCTGTACCCAGGATTGGTTCAGCGTTGCGTCAATAGTCGAACACGTTCTTAGCGTAATTAAGATGGAAGACCCATGCATCCATCACCAAATTTTTCCTACGTTCTGATAACGCCGGTTGTTATCACAACACTGAGCTTCTCTTGAGTCTCAAAGCCATGGGGGAAAGACATGGAGTGGAGTTTAAGCGCTATGATTTCTCTGATCCGCAATCAGGCAAAGATGTTTGCGACCGTAGAATTGCTTCGATGAAAACCCCCATGCGACGGTGGGTAGACGAGGGCCATGACATCACTACTGCGGAAGAAATGAAAATTGCACTTGAATCTCATGAAGGCGTTAGGGGATGTCGTTTTGCAGTCGTTGAAATTGATAAATCGACCCAAAATTCACAGGTGAAAAAGATCCCAGGTATCAGTTTCCTAAAAAATTTTATGTTCTTTGATGATGGTATTCGGGCATGGAAAGCATATCAGATTGGGGAAGGTCATTTTTATCCGTTTTCTTTCCTTACAACCAATGCTCAAGGAGCTACAGCAATAAAAGTTCTTAATCCGTTTTCGTCACCATCTAATTGCTCTGGGGCTTCAGTGGCTGGACATTCCTCCATTTCGCCCGGCCTGTCCTCTTGAGAGGAAGAAGGATGTGTTCAGATGTTTTCTACCTACAAAGAACTTCAGCATCATTTAGATGCGAAACGCCATCTCTTTGTGGAGGAGCAAGACACTGCGTACGATGTCATCAAGAAAAAGTGGGCCAGCAGCTTATCAAACGTAAGCTTACAGAAACAGCGCACTTTTCCATCAATGCAGCCTGGTTATGAAAGCGTTTTGGATTGCCAAGAAGCAGTTGAGGGATGGGCGCTTAAGACCGTCCAAAAGTCAAGCCGCATGTCTGAAGACGTTAGAAACTACGTAATCCAAAGGTTCAATGATGGAGCAAAGACAGGCAACAAAGCAGATCCAAAACAGGTTGAACATGAAAAGAAACACGTAAGAAACACAACTGGTGGCTTATTATTCCAACCTCATGAGTGGCGTACCTCAAAGCGGATTGTAAGTTTTTTTTCTCAAATCTCTCAAAGTCTCAGCGTGCAAAGAACATTGATGAAGGAAACCATTGTATTGAAACTGAGGATGAGGAGCCAAACATCCAGGACAAAAACTTGCAACTGCTGCAGCTTGTCATAGAAAGTCAGGTACAGGCAAAGAAAGGGAAAGATCAAGAGGAGAAAGATCAAAACCCTTCGACTAGATACACTGAAAAAGGCATGTTTGTCGCTGAACGTAGAAGTTACTGGATCCAAAGCAAGGAAGGACACTTTTGCTCTTGCACTAGACAACTACATCTGCACCCACCGATCCAAGAGCTGCAAGTACTGTCATGATAGGTGTTGAACACTGTTAATGCAATTACTTAAAGACGTTAACAGTCACCCTATTACGCATAGTGAATGTTGAGTGCTAATGGATAGAACGCAGAGAAAATATGTTCAGAATTCTTGTTGAATTTGAGTGGCGTTCATGAATAATGAAAGCAGTGTTGAGCTATAACAGCGCCTTTTTACCGTCATAAGTTTTCAAAATTCCTTTGCTCGATCAGCTTTCACCAGGCTTGGAAGAGTGAGTGTTTTTTTTTTTTAAATACGCCTTTCTGTAATTTTCACCCATCCACAAAAGGAAGCCAGAATTAGATGAAGTGATGCAATCTGAGAGAATATCTATATTTAACCAACTTTAGTTTTAAGTGCNAAAGCAGTGTTGAGCTATAACAGCGCCTTTTTACCGTCATAAGTTTTCAAAATTCCTTTGCTCGATCAGCTTTCACCAGGCTTGGAAGAGTGAGTGTTTTTTTTTTTTAAATACGCCTTTCTGTAATTTTCACCCATCCACAAAAGGAAGCCAGAATTAGATGAAGTGATGCAATCTGAGAGAATATCTATATTTAACCAACTTTAGTTTTAAGTGCAATTAGAAATATATGCAAATGAAAGATCTCCAAACAGATTTTTTGAATAAAAAATGCCACACTTAACCATCCTCTCATGTGAACTGTTGGACCGGAAGTGACTTTGTGAGCATCTCCAGCGGTGAATATTCATATTTTGCCAATTTTAGCGTTCAGGTGGAATTAGAAAGTAAAAGTGCTACAGACAGTATTATTTAAGGTAAGTTATTGGAAACTTTTTGGCTAATATACTCGATATAAGCTTAATTATAAGGGAAAAAAGACTAAACCGGAAGTGGCTGTATTAGGATCTTCAAAGCGAGGCCGCACAGTGAAAAAGCCGTAACCTTAGTATTTTCTCCTTGTTTTTTACATAACTGGGGCTAAACTTTCTGCTCATATCGGAATTGTGTTATTTCAAAAAGTGGGCACTCAAGTAAATCCGACTTAAATTTGGGTTATTTTCAGTTTCACTAAAAATGTCTTTAAGAGCATTAACTTAACAGTTATTTCACAAACGACAGAAATATTTCTTTGATCCATATGTTTTGCTATAAAACCCTTAAGGATAGAGATAATAAAAAGTGAGTTTATACTTGGCTTAAAATATCCCTGGCATTGTAACCAGAATAATGAAAAGTGCCAAAAGTGGGCTATAAAAAAAGCACTGGGGGACCCCAAAAAGGATAACATCTAGAACTCAGCCCACATAAGAGCAATGGAGCTAAAACTTTGGCATATTGCATAAGTCTCCATAGTAACTAAGTGTACTAAACTTGAGCCAAATCGGCCGACCCCTTTCTCCAAGCCTGCCCTGGTGTCTCAGGCAGAAGCTCTTAAGTCCTATAATATTATTGTGAAAGGTTTGAACCCAGGAGTCATTTCAAAAGGTTGAGTTTGATCGTCCGGGTGAACCGATAACCACTTTACGGCGACTGCTTACTAATGTCAAGGACAAAGACAAACCGGAGGACAGACAGGGAGCAGTATACAAGATCAAAGCACGCGAATGACCGAACACAAACGGGCGACGACGAATGGTGACGTCAACAATCACATTGCTGAGCACCATTTAAAGACGAAACATCAAATTGACTGGGACTCTGTGACATGTATAACGTATTCTACAGACTACTATCAACGTCTTACTTTAGAAAGCTGGTTTACTAACTTAGAACAAACGCCACTGAATCGTAGCCAACAGTTACCAGCGCCGTACAAACGACTTATTGACGAGATCAAGCAAAACTAACTACGAGAGAACAACTGGAGAACTGACAATTTGACTAACAATAGACGACTGTTTAACTGTGACAATAGACGGATCGAAACGCACCAATCACTGATTACGAGTCTTCATAGCCAATAACATCACGGCTTAACTGACAGACGACCAATAACATCGCGACATAATTGACCAATCAGATCAATAACCAGAGTATAATACCATCAACCGACGTGATACAACTCACTTTGACTCTGAAGATGACTACCGCACAGGTTGTCGAAACGTCAGTCACTGTCAACAACAACAGTCCTATTCAGGACTACATTCACCCGGACGATCAAACTCAACCTTTTTTATAATATTATTTGTAATAATTTAAACGATTGAACATGCACCTGCCTTTTTGCAGACTTGTCTAACTTTTACTTTGTCAAAAAATGAACATCTTCCTAAAAATGCTTTCCTGAAGAGATAGACTGTTTTCACACAAAGAATGTGCCTTCAACAATTTAGCCAGATCTGTTGAACAGGGTCCGAGTTGTAACTTAATGTAATATCCCTATGTGGTAATATCTGTGGGGGTAGCGGGTACAATCTTATATAAAAGTGATAGGGATGCTGGTCATCTCGCTTAGGGATAGGAATTGCAGATTTTTGTGTTATTTTACTTAGGGTGTTCAGGATAGGAGGCCAGTATTTTCAGTCATAAATGTTTAAGTCAAGGTTCTCTGTAAGAAATAATCATGAAGAAAAGGAATGTTGGCAAACTGTGATAGGGTATGATCTCCTCTGGGAGTCAAATAAAGCCCGAGCTATGCCCACATTGGTCTTTTTTAGGGGTGTAGTTGTAATTTTCCAACAAGCATCCTGATCATTTTTACATAGGAGCCTGTCCTCCTCACCTCCGGGTAGTAATTTTCTGTTCCAGGGAGATCTAAGTATCATTCCATTCTATCCCTGACCAGGTCTAGGGCTTGAATATAAAGATCAATACGCAGTTGTGTGGACTGTGTTGGAGAATCAGCAACATCCAACACATAGGACTCTATTGAATGCCTATTATCTAAAGACATTGGTTCAACAACAACGTTGTTATATTCTTCTGAAGGAGAGGGGCCCTCTGGGTCATATCGATACAACTGAATATCATCTGGCTCTCCATCCATGCATCATGCCATTCATCCAAATGTGATATAGGGTCAAACTACCCTCTGTACTCACTGTGTGATTGTTGAAAGCTTCAGAAAATTCTCTCAGGGAATTGTTTACTTTGGGGATAAAAATAGTGTGTAAAGCGAAAAGCTGAATTGGATCCTCGACATTAAGAATCCTCCGATGATTCCATTGCATAAAAAATTATAGTAGTAGTACAGATGACAAACACATCTATAGACCTCTCTAAAGAGGCGTTCAATCCTCTGATGTGTGTCGATGGACCAGCAATGAAACTTGCTCTTCGTTCTCCTCGATATTGTATCATTGCATCACAAACAAGGACGTTCTCAACTCTCCTATCAACTCTAATCCTTGATGGCCAACGGTCACCATCCCTTTTGCCAGCATCCAAAAACAGGTCAAGGACTGTCTCTGACAGGTTATTCGAAATACACTTTAAATATATTATACGCCTCGAAAACCCATCGACACAACCATGAATGACGCCCATCTAAGTGCCATAATGAATTGAGCCATGGGACCTGGTATACCCTTCGTGAAACAAGAATTCCCCACCGCAAAGCCCTGTTTTGTGGGTCCAGTCGAGCTAAACATTCCCTTACTATTATTCTTTGCACTCTTAATCCTAGGGATCTTAAATATCCCTTCACATACACTTGTCCACTTGTTGCTCCATGTTCACGAATATAACCTCGCACTACGTCTTCCAACTCGTCATCAGACAGTTTACTAAACGACCCAAAATCTTCTAAACCATAATCTTTGATCCTTCTTGATATAGTCCAACGAGATACTCCCAACATCTGCGCAATTCTAGTGTAAGTAAATCCTAAACCCAGAAGGTCTTCAAGTAGTTCTGCGGATATGTCGAAAGCCGGCTTAACGGGTTCACCACTTTTAAGCCTGGGACAAACATTCTTCACCACTGTCGTGGGAGACACGGCTGCTCTGGCTAAACATTGGTTTCCTCATCCACTATCGTCTGGGAGATCTGGTCAGTTCTTTGAAGAACCGAGTCAAGAAACCTTGGAAGGTCAGGCTCCACATCGAAGTGGAGCCTTGTGTCATCTTCATAAGCTTCTATTTCTGTAGCCAGCATCGCCGCCATGTTTTTAACAAGCAATGATATGCGTCACTGACCAGAAGTAGTGAGGGCTCAAAAGATTTGAATGAATAGTTGAATGATTTAAAAATTAAAGTTGAATGTTGAATAGATGGTTGAAATTGTTGAATAGATAACTGAATGGATGAATGAAGAATTGAATATAAACTGAATAGTTGAATGTTGAACGGGAAGTTGAATATTGAATAACGCGTTGAATGTTGAATACAAGTTGAATATTGAACGCATAGTTAAATACAAAATACAAAACTAGATATAAAATTAAACGAATTGAATATTGCTACATTTGGCTTGCCATAGTCGAGAATGATGGAGTATTGTACGCCTTGACTGAGCAAAATTTTTTTGCAGCTTTGAGTCTCACATTTAGAGGTAATTACTTCCTGCGGTTTATGTTTCTACGCACCCTGGTTTCAGCAGATGTTTTCTGACAGAATTTGATCACAGACGTAGTTTACCATAATGATTTTCTTTTAACTTTGTTTTAAGCCTTAAGCTTTTTCATTGCGGCTAAATAACGTTAGTTTCTTTTGTTTTCTCCGAAATACCTGGACCTGAATAGCTACATGTGTATATTTTTTTTTGGCCGTGAATCTCATGATTTCCTGATTTGGTTGACGCTAGAATTGTCGGCTAGATTACAGAATACGCAGCAGTGCATCTGAAGGGATTGGAAGATGCTGGAAAACGTCAGCCGTTTAAATGTTCGTTTAGGA